CTCAACTTTACGTAATGTAAATATTTAATGCTGTACATTTAGGATCTGCCTGTCACCTGCCTCCAGTCTGTTCTCTCATCATCCAAATCGTCTTCCTGCCGGACCCAGGGACAGACTCGGGTCTCCAAAGGGCTCTCTCTCCCCGAAGAGCTCTCCAACACAGCCCAGCACCTAGCTGACAGTAACCATGTATGGGGGGTCACAAATGTTCGTAGCAGTTGTGCAACCTCAGTCAATGTGTGTGCTCTGAGCTTTAATTTTCGTATTTGTAAAATGAAGCTACCACCACCTGCCTCACAGAGTTTCTTGCGAATTGAAACCTCGCATGGTGCCTGACGTACAGTAGGTAGCCCATAAACGCTTACTGAATTCCCAGCAAGCATTCGTGATGGTCTGGGGCCTTGCACATCTAAGACTGAACTCATCCACCCATGTGCAAGTATCCTTCCCTCCCCGCACCCACTCTAATGAGAACTTGATGCTGGCCCATCCCTGCCTCTGTGATGCACTCAAGAGCCTGGTAGGCAGGACAGGGGAGGATGGAGCTGGAGAAGGGCTGAGTTGAGAGGCAGGGTCCACCCATATAATCAAGTGCTGGGCAGGTGGCATGAGAAGAGAAAAGGAAAAGCTGGATGTGGGGAGAGACCCTAAGGCCGTGGGTGGCCAACACCTGCACTGGCCAGGGCTGAAGAGTGCTGCTGGGGCACAGGACGGGGACGCCCAACTTTCGACCTTCTTTCAGAAAACAATAAAATCTTCTAATTACTTCTGGCTGCCTGAGTGTGCAGAGACTGGGGCATGTGGGGCCCTGAGGCTAGGAGGATGACACACCCTTGTCTTTGTCCATGCTCTCAACATTCCTGTAAGGCAGATTTTTGTCTCCATTCAAACAGATGAGAAAACTGAGGTTCAGAAAGGCTAAATGACTTGCCTGAGGTTACACAGCCAGTCAGAGCCAGAGCCAGGACTCCCTCCAGATCTGCTGTCTTCTGAGCCTGTGCTGCTAACCATGTCATGCTCAGAAAATGGTATCACTGTGTGGCATCATTGCTTTACTCTAGAACATGGGGGTGAAGAGGTGCCCACTGGGTGACTCCTGCCACTTCTTGAGGAAATGCGGCCTCACCTCAGCAAATGGGGTCCTGAACCCCTACAGAGTGCCAGGGTGCCAGCCTCATGGGGACACACACAGGAAGGATGGACCGGCTGGAGAAGCCCCTCATCCAGCAGTCCTATGCCGGCAGAACCAGCACCAACACAAGGGAGGGTATGGGGTAGTGACAACCACCAGGACCAAGGGTGGTGCCCTGAGCCACGAGAGTTGCACTCGGCCTGAGAGCTAGGAAAGCTAGGGAGGCTTCTCAGAGGTGGTGATCTATGGCCACCTGGGAGGATAAGCAGGACTTAAATAAAAGAGACAGGGACCTGGGTAGAGGAAATAAGATAAGCACAGGTGTGGAGGCGTGGGAGCACCAGTGTCTCCTGGGGAGGAGGGCAGATGGTGGGACACGTGGATGTAGTGGGTGTGCAGGCTGAGATGTGGGCCATGAGGCCAACTCCACACGGCCTGCGTGCCTGGGTGAGAAGTTGGGACATCCTTCCAGAGGTACAGGGGAGGAAGCTGGTGATGGTGAGAGAAGCAGGCTGGTCGCGGTGACAGAAGCAGCACCGGGCAGGGACCTACCTTCCTTCCCCAAGATGAAGTCTCCCCAGATAGCAAGGATGCCTTGGGCTCTCTCTCACCTGAGGCTCTCAGACCCTACTGGAGGATGGAGGTGCAGAACATGGAGCTTCTGAACCAAGAGAAATGGTCTTCCCAGCCTTCTGAGGGATGCATTTCAGAGGGAATCGAGATTGTATGTTTCAGAGTAAAGAGAAGGGCGGTGAGGCTCCCCCAACCACCACTCACCACTTCCCATGGACCCTGCCCTACCTGCCATGCCTGGCCTGTGGAGAGAAGCTCCATGATGCCACCAGCAGCACCCATGGGTGGGCCAACACTGCGACTTCCTCAACGCTGCCCTGCCTGGTGCCCTGGGGGGCTCCCTCCTGGGCAGTCCACCTCCTGTGCACCCTCACAGAGCCGGCCTTCCCTGGAAAGTGAACCAGGCCTGCTAGAGGCCACTCGTCAGCCTGCTGATGACATCCAGGCCTTTCCCTATGCTCTCCCCTCTGCCGTGACCACATGCCTTTCCCCCGACACCCCCCATTCCCTGCTTCTTCAGGTCTCAAGTCGGATGTACCTTCCTCCTGGAAGCCTTCCCCAAGCTGCCCTCCTCCGCATGCCCAGAGCCTCAGTGCAGTCATCAGTCACCACTGCCTGTCCCAGTCAGTCATCCCCAAGGGACTGTGACCACCTAAGGGCAGAGACTGGTGTGTCCTCTTCACCTAGGCTGTGTATCCCCAGCTCCTAGGCCAGGCTCTGGCCCATGGTTAGTGCTTGATAAGGACCACCCGAAAGAAGGATTCCCACAGCCCACACTTTCTCAGACACCCTTCCCTAACCTCTGGACTGAAGGGCTCCATCCCATCACCCAACTAGACTGTTGTCCCTCTGGGCACCAGCCCCACCATCCCCTGGGCTTGGCACTCGCTCAAGCCTCTAAGGAGAACCCAATGTATGCCAGCCCATCCCTGCCTCCATGATGCACTCCAGAGCCTGGTAGGCAGGACAGGGGAAGGATGGAGCTGGAGAAGGGCTGGGTTGAGAGGCCGGAACTCACTAGAACCCCTAAATGGACTTCCCCGCCCTGGCACGCACCCTACCCAGACAGCCCTGGCTCCCTATCCCTAAGGAAGAAGCCCAGCAGGGACTGAAGGTCCAGAGCTCTCCCACCCTGCTGCCTGGCTCTTCTCACCACCAGCCCAAGGCCTTTCCTTTGCCTTCCAGGTCACTGGGCCCAGGGCAGGCAGCTGGCTCCATCACACCCTGTGATGCCTTCGGCTCAGCCAGGCCATGGCTCCCAGGCCCTCCTCAGGCAGATACACTTGGTCCTGTACCTCTCTGGGCCTCAATCCCTCATGTGTAATATGGATTCAGCATCTCAGAGATCTTGCAGGGACCTGAGGGGCTTTTTGACACATTGGTCCCCTCCCCTGTTCCTTTAGAAACTTAAGGCAGGCCTAGGGAACATAGGCAGAAGGGGAAAGGAATTGTTTTCCTTTGACTTAGCTCAGTACTAACTTTTTGGAAGGCAATTTAGCTAAAAGTATCAGAAGCTTTAAAAACACAGACACCCAGGCCGGTCATGGTGGCTCACGCCTGTAATCCCAGCACTTCGGGAGGCCGAGGTGGGGTGATCACAAGGTCAGGAGTTTGAGACCAGCGTGGACAATATGGTGAAACCCCGTCTCTACTAAAAATACCAAAAAATTAGCTGAGCATGGTAGTGCGTGCCCGTAATCCCAGCTACTCGGGAGGCTGAGGCAGGAGAATTGTTTGAACCCAGGAGGCAGATTGCAGTTAGCCAAGATCGCACCACTGTACTCCAGCCTGGGTGATAGAGTAAGACCCCAACTCAAAAAAAAAAAAAAAAAAAAAAGACACATAACCCCAAAATTCAACTTCCAAACTTTTCTCTTAGAAAAAAGTACACCAAAATGCTAGAACAACGATGTTAGTCACAATGTAGTTGTGAAGGCTAACACCCAGAAATAACCTGTATATCCAAATATAGGAGTGTGGTTTTGAAAACTATAGTACATTCATACCACGGGCCATCATTCCTACCATGCAACCATCACAAATGATGGTGTCAGGGTAAAAGGCCACCATGATATATCATTAAGCAAAGAGAACAAGTTTTAAAAACTGGATCATACTATTTTGTAAGAAAAAAGTAACACACGTATTTATAGGGGAAAAAACTTCAAAATGTTGACAGTGGTTACCTCTACTTTTTCCAGTTTTTCTAATATTAATATATAGTACTTGTGCAGAATAACACTTTTAAAACAATTGTCCATTGATAAAGCCACTGGTTAGATGTCAAGATGGGAAAACCCTAATGATAATCCCAGCCCCACCCCCCACCCCAACCTAGCAACATACATACACAGGAGTTGGCACTGAGACATATACCTAGGTGTATGCGTACACTTCCACTCACCCACCCAGCCAAGCCAAGTCACCAGCCATCAGCCCAAGGCTTGTTTTAATCCTCAACTGAACCTATTACAACTAAGCAATATAATCCATTGCACTCCAGAACAGATTCCTAGTACCACCAGCCTATGTCCTCTACAGGCAGTACCCAGCAATTCCCTGCAGGAGGTGGTAGTAAGACAGCTGCCCTCTGGAGAGCAGCCACCAACCTCAAGCTCCCAGTGAGCACCAGAGCCACGTGATGGTAGGAACTAGCCATGGCTGTGAACTAGCCAGCCAGCAACGTCATCGACCTATCAATTGTAGTGCTAATTCTCTTAGGAGCTGATGACTTCATCCATCACACTGAGGCCCCATAAGCACCCCTTTGGGTCTTCCTCATTCTCAGTGTATGGGGATGGAGCACAGGGTGGGTGTTGGCCCAGGCTGCTGGTCCAGCCAAGCTCATAAACAAGGCAGGAAAAGGACAGTGTGACATAATGCCAACTCCATGCCAGGCACAATGTTTGGCACCAGACACACTAACAGGCCTCAGAGCAGTTTGGCAAGGAAGATGTGGGACTCCAGGGTCCTCATCTGTAAATTGGGCATGATTTTCCCAAGTTCACACAACTAAAAGGAGGCAGAGCTGAGATTTGAACTCTGATCCTCTGGCCTCTTCCATGAGCCCATACTTCCAACATACTTCCCTGGCCTCATGACCCACACCCCCAGGACCTTCAGGAAGTCCATGGCACTGGAATCAAAGCTGGGTGAAGCACATAAACACAGGGCCAATTCCTCTCCCCAACCCCTCCCTTGCTCATAACACAGAAGAGGCTGGAGCTGCCCCTCTGCCATTGTGCGCTGAAGAATATAGCATGAACCAGGAAGAAAATATCAAGAAAGCGCTCACCTGGCCCGGAGGCTGCGGGTCACCTGGTTCCATCACAGCACAGAGGCCTTGTCCGACTATCCAGAGGCAGCTTGGGGGCTGCTGTAGAGGCCTTCGCTGATGTCATTAGGGTGGACCTGAGTAGGTGGTGCTGGGGGAGACAGGAGAGAGAAAAGTGGGGCCCACTGTGCAGGTCTCCACTGCTGAAAGAACAAAGCAAAATATTTTCATTCATGAGTTCATCCAGCCTAAACACGCACCTAATCCCTAGGAACTGACAGTGTGAAACTGCTCCCAGGAAGAAGAGACACAACGCTCAGCTCAAAGGAGGAAGGGCTGGGCAATCACTTATCACCTGGTGACCATCGGGGGCGGTAAGGAGCTGCCTGTGCTTAACAAATCCAGGCCAGTCAGAGAGGCCAGCTTAGGACAAGGGCCCAGACTGTCAGCTCTTGGTCTGACCACCGTCCTCGCCCTGTGACTGGGCCCCAGGGCAAAGGGAAGGGGCCCTTTCTGCTTGGTTGCTAGGTGCAGCTTCACTGGAAAGCACAAAACGAACTGTGAATTTTCTCTGGGTACAAATGATATGCTCAGTTTGGGTGCTTTAGTTTCATAAAATTTGGCACCACTAGGAAGAGAAGTACGCTAGAAAGAGAAGGCCAGAGCTGCAAAAATCCAAAGGATTCAGACATGGTTCCTGCTGAGATCAAGGGGAGAGGCCCCCTCCCCCAACCAGGAAAATGCCTGCCTGGTACCACCTTGATGCACAATTAGTTTCTCAAGGGGCTGCCTTGCTAGACCAGCCATTTTCCTTGAAAGTATCCATCCAAATAGGATCCATGGGGATTTCTTTTTCTTTTTCTTTTTGCTTTTTTCTTTTTTTTCTTTTGGTCTACTAGAAGTCCCTAAGGGCAATCATGTCTCCCAGAAGAGATTACAAATTTTGGATTGTGTAAACACTCTCTGCCCAGAAAGCAACTATGGAGATCTTCGTTATTCCAGCCAACCTGCCTTTAAGGTAGAGAACCTGGTCAGCTCTGCCAGAAAAGGCTCCAGAACCAGCCCTTGAGGCTTGGAGTGCCCCAAGCCTGCTTCCTTGAACCCTCAGGCAGCCCTGCATGGAGAGGCAGGGATGTTGATCATTGTCTCTGCCGGGCTGGTGCTGAACACAGCTTTGTAAAGCCTCTGCCTCCCTCTTTTCCCCCTTCTCCATGGTCACCGGGCATCCAAAGACCCTTCCTGAAAGAGCCCAGGAGTATGCTTGAGCAGAAGGTGCATCCTCTCGCCCATGTGTGTGCCCCCCTCACAGCTGCTGCAGCTGCTGCTCTGCCCTTTCTCCTGGGCCAACAGCTTCCAACAGAAAGACAAGGAGGATCCCAAAGAACTCTCAGGTGTCTACGTGCAACTGAGCCCCAATGTTCACTGCACCACCAGTTGCCAGGCTGGATGTCATGCATTTCACATGCTCTGTGCTAATAATCCTCACTCAGCAAGGTAAAGTCCCATTTTACAGAAGTGTAAACTGAAGTTCAGAAAGGTAAAACAACTGCCCTTCATAGGTAGTAAGTGGGAGTGCCAGGACACAGCCCAGGGCTCCAAAAGACACTTGAATAGAGAGACAAGACCCAGGCAAGCCCAGAAACTGCCTTCTCCAAGGACATCCTACTTGGCAGCCATCTGTTCTGAGACTTCAGGAGAAGATCAGCGGCCCTTAGGAAAGAGATTTTCAGTGTCAGTGATGATAGAGTGAAAGCTAAACATGGATCTGAACCACAAAAGATCCTGAATAACCAAAGCAATCCTAAGGTGGGGTCAGTGGGCAGAGAGCTGCAAGCATCACACTACCTGACTTTAAAATGTACAACAAAGCTATTGCCACCAAAACAGCATAATATTGGCATAAAAACACACAGACCAACAGAACACAATCAAGAGCCCAGAAATCCATGCATCTATAGCCAAATGATTTTTGAGAAAAGTGCGAAGAACACACAACGGGGAAAGACAGTCTCTTCAATTAATGGTGCTGGGACAACTGGTCATCCACATGCAGAATGAAATTAGGTCCTTACCTCATATACAAAAATCATCCCAAAATGGATTAAAGATTTAAATGTAAGACCCAAAACTATGAAACTACTGGAAGAAAACATTAGGAGAAATCCTTCATGATGTTGGACTGGGGAAGGATTTTTTTTTTCAATAAAACTTCAAGAGCACATGCAACAAAAGCAAAAATAAACAAATGGGATTACATCAAACTAAAAAACTACATAGCAAAAACAGACAACAGCAAAGAGACAGTCTACACAATGGAAGAAAATATTTGCAAACTATACATCTAACAAGGGTTAATAACCAGACTATATAAGGAACTCAACTCAATAAAGCAAAACAAATAACCCAATTTAAAAATGGGCAAAAGAAATGTGTTAATAGACATTTCTCAAAAGACATACAAAATAGGTAACAGGTATGTGACAAAACGCTCAACATCATTAATCATCAGAGAATCATTAATTTGTCAAATCAAAGCAATGATGAGATACCACCTCACTCAAATTAGAATGGCTACTATCAAAAAGACAAAAGACAACAAGTGTCAGCAAAGAGATAGAGGAAAGGGAACCCTAACACACTGTTGGTCAAAATATAAATTAGTACACTCACTATGGACAACAGTATGAAAGTTCCTCAAAAATAAAAAACAGAACTACCATATGACCCAGCAATCCCACTGCTGGGTACATATCTGAAGGAAAAGAAATCAGTATGTCAAAGAGGTATCTGCACTCACACGTTGATTGCAGCACTATTCTCAGTAACCAACGTACAGAATCAACCTAAGTATCCAACAATAAATAAAAGGATATAGAAAATGTGGTATATACACACAGTGGAATATGAGCCGGACATTCAAAAGACTGAAATCCTATCATCTGTGACAACATGGATGAACCTGGAAGACTCAATGTTAAGTGAAATAAACCAGACACGAAAAGGCAAAATACTACATGCTGTCTCCCATATGCAGAATCCGAAAGAGTTGATCTCACAGAGAAGAGAGTAGAACAATGTTTACCACAGTCTGGGAAGGGAAGCCGGAGAAAGGATGCGGAAAGGATGGTCGACGGGTACAAAGTTACAATTAGAAAGGAAGAGGTTCTGGCATCCTATTGCACAGTAGAGTGACTATAGTCAACAACAAGGCATTACATATCTCAAATAGATAGAAGAGAGGATTGTGTACATTTCCAACACAAAGAAATGATAAATGATTGAGGTGATAGATATGCTAATTATCCTGATTTGATCATTATACAATGTGTACATGTATCAAAACATCCCAACGTACCCCATAAATATGTAGAAAACATGTGTCATTGAAAGTCATTTTTTTTAAACCGTGGATCTGAAAGTGGCCCACTCCACCACTGTATCCTTTCCCATCTGAGCAGCCTTGCCTCACCCACCTGTCACCCAGCCAGGGGCCCACCTGACTGCATTGCCATTTCCCTTCACCCTGTCAGAAGACCTCAGAAACCCTCTCACCCAAAGGCCAGCTTACCCAGAAGAAAGTGTGTCCTCATGGAAGCATTTCTGGCACCATGAAAGTGACGTTCTGGGACTCTCCTCCAAAGCACACAAGCCCTATTATACCTTTCATCTGACCTCTGGAACCCGGTTTAATTGGTTGGAAGAACTCTGAATTTGGAACCAGACCCTAGGTTCTAGTTCCAGTTCTGGTTGTAAGTTCAAGGACCTCACTTTGTCTGAGGTTCAGCTTGCTCATCTATGAAGTGGAGATGACAATTCTGTTGGCACTACCAGTTCACAATAGTGAAAACACTTTGCCACAAAATGGAACAAGGCCACAGCTGGAAACAGACACTGTGCCCCCAGATGCCCTCTCACCCGTCAAAGCAGGGTGGCGATGCTCCCCAGTTATCCCCAGGGCTCACCTCCTCTCAAAGTGACCCCCTCCAAGGAGAACTACAGGCGCATGCACAGCAAACCCAATGGCATGGTCCCCCACGGATGCTTGTGGTCCTCATGGCCACTTGTTAACCACATCCCTGCTCTGGGATTTGGAGTCCCAAGATGGGAATTTAACTCATGGGGTTGCAGTGAGGCAATGTGGTATCATGGTTGGGAGGAAGGCTTTAACCTAGACCTGTCTAATTCTAGGTTCCCAGCTCTGCTATTAGCTGTGTGACCTTGAGCAAGTTACTTCACCTCTCTGAGGTTCAGCAACCTTATATTTAAAATGGGGGTCATAGTACTCAGCTCATAGGGCTCTTGGGAGGATTAAAAACATGTTAAGGTCTTAGCACAGAGTCTGGCAAGTGTATGTGTCCAATAAATAGCAAGCTCAACCACATAAAATTATGTAACAGCCTCAAACCTGAACAAGAGTCAGAGAAGGCTCTAGATGTGCACTGTCCAATAGAAATACAACGCAAGTCACATATGCGATTTTAAGTTTTGTAGAAGCCACGTTTTAAAAAGCAAACAGAAACAGGTTAACTTTAATATGTAATCCAGTATCTCCAAATATTATTTCAATATGTAATACGTATTTTTAAATTATTTAGATACTTTACATTTTCCCATACCATGTCTTCCATCTCTGGTGTGTACTTTATCCTTACAGTATGTCTCAATGCAGATGCTAGATTTTCCTCAAATACTTGATGAGTATCTAGGACTCATAAAATTTACAGTTGTAAAAGTAAATTGACATACCCAAGTTGTTCCAAACATCCTTAAAAGTTTCCCACTACCTTGAATCCTTGGGTCTGCCTTTTTATAGTTTTTCACTCCTTCCTGTTGACAGGCTGTAACTGGTTTTCAAATTAAATTTAAATTTAAAAACTTTCTCAGTACCATTAGTCATATTTTAAGTACTCAAAAGCCTAATGTGACTAGCAGTGACTGTCCTGGACAGGGCAGGGTGCAGACCGAGATGCTGAGGGGTTGCTTTGCAGCAGAAACATGCCCTTTCTACTGGACTAGGACCATCACTCCTCCGGTTCAACTCCACAGCATCTCCTGTTTCCCCAGCTCCATTCCAGAAGCGTCCCCTGGAAGAGCCACCTGTTGCGCCATTTCCACAGCTGCTGTGACGAGGGGAAGGTCCCTCGGCACTGTACATGGATGTGCCTCTGTCCACGGTCTAAGACTGCTCACAAACAAGGCGTGGAACACGAAGGCAAAAATGATGAAGATGTCTTTCAATTTGCTAACTTTCTCTTTGACGACACCAGCCAATGTTTGACTTGTTTCCCTGTCTGTACTGGAAGTATCTGGATATGAAGAAAGGATGAGAGAGTTCAAGTTGGGAGGGACAGCCTGCCAACAGGGAGGACAGAGGAAACTGTAAAAAGCAGACCCAAGGACTATGGAAGTATAGCCCCTGAGGCCATTTAGTACAGGACAAACCGTACGCCTCACCCTCAGAGGGTAGCCCTGGATCACAGCCCAGAACAGGCATGGGGACCTGGACATGCCACAAAAGCACATCACAATCTTTCTTGCCTTCCGAAATGGGGAATATGGAACACAATAAAACATTATGCAAAGATTTCCATGCAGAACAGCAGAAGGAAGCTGGTGAGCTCTCCAGAGCCAGGACTGCCCATTCCCCAGAAAGCCAACATATGACCGTTGTGACACACAGACATGTGTCTACGTGTGCATTTAAACCAAACAAAAAAAAATTAACCCAAAAAAATATAGAAATCACTTAGATTTGGTAGACAAAACTACTCTTACCTGCAGCCTCATCTCTGGACACATTATTTATTTGTCTGTTTTTGTTTGTTTCGGGGTTTTGAGACAGGGTCTCACTCTGCCACCTGAGCTGGAATGCAGTGGCACAATCACAGCTCACTGCAGCCTCAAACCCCTGGGTTCAAGCGATCCTCCCATATTATCTGTTACTTGACTCCCCCTGCCCTCTCACCCCTAGGATATAAGCTCCGTGAAGGAAGGGATTTTTCTTTCACTCCCTGCTGTATCCCCAGTGCCTAGCAACAGTGCCTGGAACTCAGCAGTTTGGATGGCTGGATGTACTCTAAGCTGCCCCCTAAATTCAACATCCTTTTATCATTCAACAGATATATGTTTTCCCATAGATCACCTGCCCCAAATTTTGTACAGATTGAATTTTTCATACAGAGAAAGTTCTAGATGCCCAGTTATTGCCCACTTACCTGCATCAGGTTCCAAACTGCCCCCAGACAGTGTGGCAACTTTCTCCAAGCTGCAAGAAGAAGGGGTCAATACACCCCGAGCCCTGGGTGTAGAGTTCAATGGCAGGATCCTTCCTCCCCCATACCTGGACTGTCAGCCTGCTCCCACTGGAAGAGCCAAGCAGCCCCAGCTTTCCCCTGGGTGCCCCCTGTCACCACGAGCTGTGAAGACCTCAAAGCCACAGAACAGCCTCTTCTATCTCAGGGTAGCCGCATCAAGGTTTGGCAGTTCCACATGATCTGCATGTGGTGGGTGCAGAAAATAGAGCTGCATTTTTCAGCGGCATTTATACCTGTGTTTAATTTCTGCTTACTAAGACAGGGAAAATGTTCTACCTAAAGGCCAGCTGACGGCTGGACTACACATTTCCGGATTAACAGCTCTGTTAGAGATGTTTCCAACAAGCAAATGACCCCTCTGTGATGTCTATAATTATATCCATATAACATATAAATCTCAATACACTTTTAATAAGCAGTTAATACTCTGATATAAAATATTTACATCTCAACCAAATTCATCCTGCATGGAGTAGCCCTGGTTTACTGAGTTATTAAAACCACTGCCATCAATCAGTCATCCTAGCTAAACAGAGAACTGAGAAGCTAAAGAAAGCTTCCTTTTCACTTTCAGCCTAGGCTGAAGCCTGGAGTTTAAATATCACTAAATTTTTCTGCCCATTGTTCTTCACTAAGTAGCAGGACCTCTGTCACTGCAAAGCCATCCATCCTAGCATCCAAGCTAGAAACCCAGGAACCCCATGGAGCCTCCACCCTCTCCAGCATTAGACTGAGACATTATGAGGACCTATGGTGGGTCATAGGCAAGCTGCTAGGGTGGGAAGATGAGGCACATACCCTGCAGAACTCACAACACAGACAGCCAATCATCACCTAAGTCCAGCTCAAATGTCAAACCCTCTGGGAAACCTTCCTGAGCAGGGCTCCATCTTTCGGGGCAGCCAGACCACTGCAGCCAGTCATTCTCAATG